CGAGACTTGCCTTCAAAGCGGCCGTAGACTCCAACATATATATTAGGTTGTCTCATAAATAGTGTCGCTTTTTTTTCAACCAAAAAATTTTCATCTAAATCCCCATGCTCTTTTACTGCGAGTCATATACCATTCGAAAGAGAATTGTCTGCTCTACAAGATGTTGTGTTCCTCTTCCATCTCTATCCATGGTTTTCAAATTTTAGGCCTGCGAAATGGGAGGTCCAGCCGACAAAAATTGACCAAACCGACAACTAGCTCTAACTTTATTTTCCCTTCGGAGAAATCAATCAATGATGTACCCTCTACTTACTCATGACCTCTTCTGAACATTCCACCCTTAGGTTGCCGAAAAAGGTTTGCCCTGTTTCTTTTCGAATTGGCCGACCGATAAGCCATGGCAATTTTCAAATTGAAATTCTTCCTCTGAAACGCTATTGTTTTATATCAACTGGTGTATCTTTTGTGAGCACTTCTTCTGCTCTATTCGCTCATTTGTTTTGTTTTAATGTTTGTTAGGAATTAGCTCGAATTTTAGGTGTTTAGGAGTAAGGTGCTTTATCCACGAAAGTGACCGCATTTCTTTGAAAGAAATTATCCTTGAGGAGATGGAAAATCAACCAGGCGTACATTCCTAACTTAGTCATGACTTGTTCTTAAATTCTACTAGTTTTTCAATGTCTCGGCTATAAAAAAATTTCGACCTCGATCTCAGGTAATGGTGCTTGACCGTCGAGTTCTGGTTGAAAAACCAGGTCTGGAAATGGAATGACGCGACTTGTTGGGAAACCTAATAGTGTAATGTTTGAAAGAGATCATGCATAACGTATTAATTGATTTCTCCCAAGGGAAGATAAAGTTAGAGATAGTTGTCGGTTTGGTCAATTTTTGTCGGCTGGACCTCCCATTTCGCAGGCCTAAAATTTGAAAACCATGGAACATAGATGGAAGAAGAACACAACGTCTTGTAGAGCAGACAATTCTCTTTCGAATGGTATATGCTATAATAAC